GCCCTGGCCCCCCGGCGCGCCCCCCCGCGTGCCCCCCGCCTCGCTGCAGCGACACGTGGCCGCGTGCCGCCTGCGCCGCATGGGCTACTCCGACCAGGAGCAGGTGGGTCCCGCGGCGGAGCCTGCGCGGCCTCCCCGCGCCGCGGCCTCCCCGCGCCGCAGCCTCCCCACGCCTCGCCTTGCCTTGCCTTGCAGGAGGCCATGTACGATGCCAGCTTTTTCTACGAGAAGCGGCAGGTGCCCACGGTGACCATGGGTGAGTGTGCGCGGCCGCGCGGCCCTCGCTATAACGCACCGGCCCTGAGGGCCGTCATGGCATCCCCAGGCCGCGTGCCCCAGACCTCTGCGCTGCAGGTCCCTTTCCACCTTGTGGGGCCTTTCCACCTTTGAGCCACGGAGGATTTTGTTTTTCTGTAGGTTACTGGGTAGGGTCTTCCTGCATCCTCCTTATAGCGAGTGCTGAAAGTGTGTTTGTACTAAAATATGTGCTTAGAAGGGAGGAAACCTGGCTCAAGTTTGGTTGTAGTAATGATGCAAAATAAAGTTGATTTTTAGGGGGGTGTGTGTGTATATATGCACATGCATGTACCGATACATATATAAATATATATATACACACTCACACGCATACACAAACATATGCTTTTTTTTACCCATCTCTGTAACCCAGAAATCTTTCCTTTTTGTCCCCTCCATTAAGATGTGGAATAGATTAAAATAACATTTTAGTTCCTACTCCATCTCTGCACAGATGAGCTACTAATGCTCAGTAAAATACCATAATAGAGGTTGGGGAGTAAAGACTGGTTCTTGCCAGCTGCTTCGTGTAAAAGCTCTGTGATATTTTGTTTTCTCTTCCTGCAGATAAAGATCTACAGTTTCACATTGTTCAGCAAGCTAGAGCTGAAAGTGCAAAAGAAGGTGCAGGCTACAGCCAAGGTAACTAGAGAATGTTGGTACTGATACAACTTCCACTCATCTGTGGAGAGCTGCTCATATCTCTTCCTGCCCAGCTTCCTTGATTCCACTTGTGAATTGCTGCCAAGACTTTTTTTTTTTTTTTTTTTAATATTCTTTCCTTCATACATTTTGGAGGATCACTGCTTTTTCTGCTCAGTTCTGCTGAGGGAGTTTGAGTGTTTTTTTACTCAAACCCATAGTTCTCATCAGGATTGGAAAATCCTTACTGCAAATTCAGGAATGTTTCTAAAGCACTCTTCCCTCATCTCCCGTCCCACTACCTATGACTGTCTTTTTGCCTGCCTTTCCTGATATTATCCTCTGCCCTTTGGGCCCTAGATGCTTCTCAGGCTGCTCCCAACTTGTTCTTTATGGAATGGCAGGGGAGCAAAGGAACAGGAAGGGCTGTTTTAAATTTTATTTAAGGATTCACTGTTAGGAATGAGCTATATGTGCTTGTCCACCTCTCCGCAGATCAGAAACAAAGAAACGAAAGTACTATTATTATGTGAAATTATTTCAAGACTCTGTTAAGAAATGGTATAATAAATATGCTGCTACCTGTGCAAATCTGATGCTGTCCTTTGGCACTGGGACTCGCTGTTTTTTCTATGCCTCACTTGTCAGTGGGATTTGTGACCGGTGTGGGACACAGTTGAAGACTAATTTAGGTTTCTGTTTGGGAGGTGAGGCCAAGACAGAGTGGAAAAGTGTGTCTATTTTTTAAAAAAGGAAAATGTTTTGTGTGCTTGGCAGCATATTTGGGTTATGTCAGGTGCAATTTCTCCAGAGGCTGGTGGTAATTTAGCAATTTGATGCAGATACATTCAAATAGAGAGGAAACAGATAAGCCCTTGTTCTGAGGAGTACACTGCAGAGATACGTCTCTGAGCCACTAGATGCCAGTGTTTGCTACGCACTTCTCAGTGCAATCTGACATTGCTTTGGAGAGAGCCCTGATCCAGCAGAATGGCTTCTTGGCCCTACTTTAGGTTTTGCTGTTTTGGAATTACTTGCCTTATTTAAAATCTTTAGCAATAAAGAGACAAATGGAAAGCATCAGTAATTGGAAGGTTCCTGTTGACTGATGCTGAAGCTCTTTTTTTTTTTTTTAAAGAAATGTCTAATTATAGTTAGAATAACTGTATAGTGGGAAAGGCTAATAATTCAAAGGGTGAAGAAAGATAGCAGGCAGCGAGGTTGTTTTGATAACTTTCAGCTTAGAAAGAGAATTAATTTGGAGCAACTTGGGAATACATTTGTAGCATTTTTAGCTATAGCAGTGTGTGATAGTCTATTTTAAAAAGTCTGAAGCAGATGAGAGTGTGAGTATGACTGATTTGCACAGACAACAGTTGGTCATGTAGTCCCCTGGATGCTTTGGTCTTGTTGACAGAACAACAAATAATTTGAAGCTTTTACCTCTCAGAAAGCTTTAGGAGCAAGATTCACACGCGAGTTAGAGCTCTTCAGACAGCAGCTTCGTCTTCCTTGTTTTAGTTTGAAAGCCAAAAGCTGAGATCAGTGGGCAGAGCTTTTTATTTTATGGGTGCTATTATGTTCCCTTCAAAACACGTAAAAAATAATAACTACAATGTAAATGATGCAGAGACGTTATAGAATTTGTGTGTGGTTTGGGAGGTGGGATTGGAGTTTCTCTTTAAGTAATTTTTATCCTTTCAAATGAAGTTTCATGCAGTTTTATAGGGCAGGATGAAGACCCCTTGGGTGCCTCCTGCTTTCTGAGTTCCTGTGTGCGCGCGCTGTGCTGCTCAAAGCTGCTCTCTGCTCACCTTGCAGGCTGCTACTCCTCGGTGCCCGTGGAGGTCCCGCAGAACCATAAGCGTTTCACCTGTGACCTGACTCAGGCCGACCGCCTCGCCCTTTACGATTACGTCGTTGAAGAAACGAAGAAGCAGAGGTCTAGGTCCCAAATCACGGAAAATGACAGTGATCTCTTTGTGGATTTAGCAGCAAAGATCACCCAAGGTTTGAAACCAGGCTCTAGTTGAGTCTGTCACACAGAACTTCTCATTCTATGCTTGCTTGGAGGCCAAATTTAATTTCTTATGCTATTTTTATTGTGAATAATGAAGACCTATCAGAAAAGATCAGTTTGGTATTGCTTTTTTTCTCAAAAAGCCCCCATGCTGTTTTTTTTTTTTTTTCGGTACATGCATGGTGTGTATCTCAGACACGAGAAGTACTTCTGTCTTTGATGTAACTGATTTCAAGTTACTTACTGTCAACAACTTACTTATTTTGTAGTTTGGGGAGAATTGTTGCTCTAAGAGATGGTGAGATTAAAGATCACTTAAGAGTGAAAGCCTAACAAGAGAGGTTGGCAGTCATCTGACAGAGCTCTTGAGCAAGCCACAAACAGGTGTATCACGCCATGCCGTGCTGCTTATCACTGTTGTGCCTTGCCAGTTTGTATTTATACCAACTGAAACATATAAGTGCTCTTCTGTGGGCTCTGCTGTGCCTAGAGGGTAGGAGATTAGCGTTTGCAACCTACACATGTAACTGTTTTACAAAATTAGTTTTCCTCAGTCTTTGTGTCTTGTAATAGTGCTGGCTTTGAAAAGGTGGTCTCTGTTTTGGAGACATTTCACCATTTGGATCACTGCCAGGAGACTGAGATCACGTAACATTTGCATGGTAGTTTCTTGGTCTCATGTGGATGTCTAGCAAGACAGTTGAGAGGAAGCTTGTGCTCGTTTCATGATGGTTGCTGGAAAAACCACTGGAGAAGCTTCTGTTCAGAGGCAACACTGTGTTTCAGACTTATTTCTAAAGCAGCAGAATTATATAGCTGCAGGTGCTAATGTTCTGCTAATAACCATGTGCTGTGTTCTTATGTTTCTGGCAGATGATAGTCAGAAAGGCCCCAAATCCCATCTGGAGATTCTGGCTGAAATGCGGGACTACAAAAGGCGGCGTCAGTCGTACAGGGCCAAGAATGTTCATATCACAAAGAAGTCTTACACAGAGGTGAGTATCTAAGAGGAAGCCAGGAGGATTTCTTGCACACAAGGACTTGTTCTACCTCGGCATAAAGAAGGGTGGGCCTGTTCAGACAAGGAAAATGCTTTTTCTTCTCATGCTTGCATCCTCCCTTATTAGAGTTGCAAATTATAGAGACCCTCCCCACCTCAAAAAAAAGTCAAATCCAAAGAATGTTTACTGCAGCAAGTTACAAATAACAGCAGTATTTCTGTTGAACTCTGTGAAATGAATGTGAAATATAGACAAGATACAGTTAACTGTCTGTTATAAAATGGTGCCATTAAAGTTATGTTGGATTTCTCTGTCTGCAAATAAGAATTGCCACATAGACACATGATGTACAGCTTTTTCAAGCAGTATAACCTTCTCCTATGTGGTTACAAGTTCAGGCCACTGCCATAACATGCTGTTTGTTTTTCCCCTAACCTTCAGGTGATTCGGGATGTCATTGGTGTGCACATGGAAGAACTCAGCCATCACTGGCAGGAGGAAAACAGGTTGGATAACGCAGAAATATGTGAAGGCGGGAAGTCAAAGTCTTCAGGAAGGTATTCCAGGGCTGCCAACTTTCCAGGGAGTGCAAAAAATGCTTTCTGTGGGGCCAGCACCATCCTGACAGCCTGCAGTGTCACCCTAGTGTGTCTTTATAACAGCACATACAACCCTTGTCTAAGCACAGTTTCTTTCCTGCTCGTTCTATTAAGTGCCTGCTTGCAAAGTTCTGAAAGTCAGGGGAAATCTTATATTATTAGCAGGTCAATAAATTATGAAACTGACTGAAAACTATAGCAACTAAGGCTGTTTTGCTGAATAAAAGCAGTAGCCTTCTCTTCTTCAGGAGGGAGGAGAGGCGCTCGGCCTCGGTGGACTCGCGGCAGTCGGGTGGGAGCTGCAAGGACACTGAGCGCCCGAGGCACCGGAGGGAGAGCAGCAGGAGCCCGAGCAAACGGAAAAGGAGTCGTGAAAGAGGCAAGGACAGAGATTCTCGGAGAAAGAGGGAAAGGTGAGCCAAAGGAGGGGCAAACGACTTGTGCTTCTTAAGGGAGCAGCAGCAGCCATTGTGTGGGTAGCAATTTAGTGCCAAGAGTTGTAATAGTCCAAGTAACAAGCTAGGAGAGTCCTGTATACAGGGTAACACAGTTGGAACAGGATTTGCTGTGATATCCTAAAGAGCAGTCTGCATTTTCAGCATTTACTGTCCTTTACCTCTGAAAGGAGCAACTTCTACTGTCACACTGCACAATCGGGTCTGGGCTCTTTCAGGGCCTGTTTTTTCCTTAATCAGCACTATTCTGGGGACAGATGGTGCAATTAAGGTGTCATTAGGCAGGACAAGCACATGTCACCTCTGGCAGGATTTGCGCTGGGATGGAGCAGATTTGTTTAACTAATAACATACCTGCACTCTCCTGCTTAGCTCTTCCAGACTGCTTTGGGGAGCCAAGGCTGTTGGCCCTTTCGTGGTTCTGACTGTACTTCAGGCAGAGGCAAACAGGTGTAGACCTTCCAGCCTCCATTAGCCCTAACTTTTATGGAAGAAAAGCATGCAGGTATCAGCATGGAGAGGAATGACTGTTCATCTCAAAATTGGTTTCAGTATATTGTTTAGGATCTACTGCAACACTTAACTGCCACTGTGGAATTATATAGCACAACTTTGATGAAAATAGCTTGGGAAATATTTTTTTCTGGCTTTCATGAGGATATGATTACACTTGACAAGGGTTTCTGAACCTGTGTGTTTTACCCATTTTCCATTGGTGGATGAGGGTTGTGTGTCATTTCAGGGACGATGACAAGTATCACAGCCACAAACGAAGAAAGTAGAAGCAAGAAAATGGTGGTGGGATTTATTTGGCAGCTCTTTAAAAAAACTACTGGTCACGGAAGAGCTGTTGCTGCTGCTGTTGTGCCCAGGACACCTAATGTGGTCGTTGCCGCACAGCTCTGCAGAAGGAAAGTCTCACCTCCTGTCATGAGGGAAGGTGTCAGCATCACAGTGTGCACCAGGAATGCAGCTGATGATACCATCAGCAGAAAGTGGGAGGAGGAATGGAAACGGAGGCTTCCCTGGCCCTCAGAAACCACGTCCTGAGTCTGCATCCAGCACAGGCCTCAGGCCACAGGGTGACTTACAGAGCCCAGGGCTCAACTGTGATCAGGCAGCATGAAAGCAGCTCACCCTGCCCCCAGGGCTTTCCAGCAGCTGGGTTAAGAGAGCTTATTCAGAGAGACAAGGTGGAGTCAGGTGAGTCAGAACTCAACATGCTGCAGAAACATAACGAGATGCAGTAAAGTTAACAGGTATTATTATTTTGTATTTTATTTATTTCTTACAAGTAAAGTATAATTGGAAAACTAATAAAATATGTTTTACTAAGTATAAAAAAAAATTGTGGAAACCCTTAAGTGGGGAGAGGTGGGAGAACTGCATAACCACATGTTCAGCTAACATCCAATAAAGACACTTTTAAGAGCAGGACAAATTAAGTGCCCAAGAAAATTATTATTTCATATTTGTAATTAATTTTTAAGTAGTGTGTTTAATCCTCTGAATAAAGGCGACTTCCATGTCTTCATTGCTGTTTCTGTGCTGAGCTGGTGCTGAGGGGCAGCTTGGACATGGACAGCGTGGAGGGGTGGCTGAGGAAGTTGCGGAGCTGCACCATGCCGGCCTGCTTGTCCCTGCATAGGAGCAGAGCAAAGGGGTGGTTGGGGGCAAAGCCGAGGGGTGGGGGTGCCCTTGGGTGCTGCTAAGACACAAACCTTCCCAAGCATGGGGCAGCATAAGCTCCTCCCCAGGTCAGCATCTCCTCCTTGCTGATGGGAGAGAGGATAGGGCAAATACTCTGCTTTCTACCACCCTTGAAACTACTCCCTGCTCCTGCTTCCACCAGGCCAGACACAACCCTTCATAAAAATAAAAGCATTTGTAGTATACTGTCAAAGGACTCTCTAGAATGCAACATAGCTCAAAGGCGAAATATCAACTAAAAACAGACTACAAGCACAGAATCAGTATATTTTGAAGCTAGTCTTAACCACTCCTTTGATTAAGGCTATATATCTGAGTAAAGCAGGTACAGCTGCATTACAGGAGCAATCATATGAATGTTACATGGAAGGACTTTTTTTCTTTTTTTGCTCAGGCAGTACTTAGGTGATAACATTTACGAAATTTTGAAGTGACTGAAGGAACAGACTTATATGAAAATCCTATAACATATTTTTAAAGTCATTTTTCTACTGGTTAGATTTTGTTTCCTGTAAAAAAAAATAAAAGGTATTGTCCTTGAAACTTAAAGGCACCGTTATTTCATAAAAAAGGATTCATCCTCGTGGATGTCTTAAAGTTTACCATGTGACATATATAGCCTTGAAATCCCAGGATAGATGAGATAGATACACAGTGTGCCTGTCCCCACAGGTAACCAGAGTGCCAAAAAGCCTCTGACCAGGGTAACCTCACAACTATGCACCGGGATTCAGGGACATCTTGGTGCTCAATCCCTTTCCATCTGCCCCTTAGCTACTAGCAACCATGTGATACTGTACTAAAATAATTACCTTGCAAATGAAGTAAAAACAAACACACTGGAAATACATTCAGCATCCGCAAATGAGAATGAGTTACATCAAGACAGGAAGAACTGTCAAGGTCAGATAATATCCAGCCTTTGTCCTTTATATACCTTTATATAAGACCGTGCCAGGAAGGTCAGTATACCACAGATGATGCCACAAAACTTGAAGGGACGTGGAATTTAGTGATCCACATATTAAAAAAATCCCATCTATTTTTTTTTTTTTTTAAACTTACGCATGTTCTTTAATGGAGACAAGGAAGGCTTCAATCTTCTCCTCTGGAATATCTCCATCTATACCAGCCAAATACGAGTAAAGGAATGAGAAGGTCTCGAACGCGATGCGAGCTGGTCCACCATCTGGGTCGGCTGTTAAAATCTCACAGGCATATTTCATTGAGCTCAGCAAGGACTGTGCGGAGCCCAGTCAAGAAACGAGAGGAACAGTATCAGAGCCCTGAACATACTGTGACAAAACAGAGACTTAAAGCTACTCAAAACCAGTGCAGAAAAAAAACAAAGGTTTTACTCCAAATTGACCCCCAAGTGCAAGCCCAGGAACGGAAACAATCATGAAGTTCTAGCAGGGATGAGAGTTAAAATGACCAGAATCCTACGACAGTTACAGACTGCAAGGGCCAGCCCAAGCGTCATCTCCAACACAGCCAAACTGCACTGCCACACTGCTACCACCACTGCTCAAGGCTTGGCATACCTGTTCTTGGTGCAATTTGTACAATATGGTTTCATCTTTAGAACTGCTGGTATTTACCATCTTCCCTACCTGCAGTTAAGTTCCATTTTAGCAGTTAATAGAAAAAGCACTGTGGCAGTGGGGAATAGAACTGAGAAAGGGATAGTTTAAATGGACAAAAAAAATGTACTGATTACATTGCCAGGCTGGCCCCATATTTAGGACTTCCAGATACCATAACATTCTCAATACAATATTTATTTAACATACATTTTTGTCTCATTGCTCCTTTTCTTTTTTTTTTTTTCCTCCCCACTGTAGTAGTCACCAAAAATGTTATCTCACATTTATAGGAACATCAGCTTAATGTGAGAATATTTTAGAAGCTCTCATTCTGTCGTAAAACTGCTCTCTTACAACCTTATCGCTCTCATTAAAGGAAGAAAATGGAGATTTAGCAGTTAGTTAACTGCTACTATGAAAATGCGATCAGCTATATAATCAATTAATACTCGATGTTTCATCTCTCACTCAGCTCTTCTCCACGGACACACTGATGCCATAAGTATCACTCCATCATCCTCACCATGAGAGCACAGCTCACAGAGGTAGCCAAACACAGATGATACCACTATGCTACCTAACCTCAAAGTCCATTTGTATCAAGTATTCTGCGGTCTACTAAATATAAGGTCTTTTACTTTTGTAAAAAGCTTTTTGAAGGTTGCTGATGTGAACATACCCCACCGAGAACACTGCACCCAAGTGCCAGAATTTTCATCCATTCCACCTCGTCACTGAAGTTGTCCAGCTGCAGAATCGCCCTCAGCTGCTCCTCAGGCAAGCACAAGCGCTTCCATTTCTCCTTGAGTTCTGCAACGTTCACCAAGACTTTTGGCGCAAGCTTTAAACAAAACCACAGGGCCACGTTCAGAACCCTGAGAACCAGACTGAGGCTTAACACACAGTCCCTCTCCAAAATACATCAAATATTCAAACAGACAACACCCGGGACCCAAGTATGTTTTTTTGTCTAAGAAAAACACAATAGTGTTCGATAAAGGCTGCTTTGTACCTGTTTGTGCAAGACCTTAAGGAGTCCTAGGGTCAAACCAGTGTCCGTTTTCTGTGTTGCTACAGGCATTTCAAGCCTTGCCTTTACAGGAAGGGGTTCGCCTTTTGACAGCGCTGAGAAATAACTAAGTAAAAGGAAACAGCAACACACTTCAGTGCCCATGATAACTTAAGCTACAAAGAAGTCCTTAAAATTCTATAAGCAAATCTATGTGCTCCTGAGCAGAAACAGCAGTAAGATCGCTGCTTGCTGAAGCTCCCATCCCAGCCTGTGCCTAAATGCCATGCTGCTTTTTAGTGGAAGCCACAACCTTTAAATTTTACCTTTTTATGATACTTCAATAGCTCTTAAGGTACTGAACTTGCACTGTACATGACCCTCTCTTCCTTGGCAAAGGCAGAGGGTGATTTATTAACACTGGAGCGTGCTTGGAAAGGGAAAGCACAAACTTTCCCCAGGACACTGCCCAGCACCCCAAGGCTGACTAACAGGCCACCCTCACGCTGCCTGAAATGCCCAACCAGCTACTTACACTTCAACACTTGCCTAAGTATTTTTGATATTTCTGGCCACTGCAAAATAAAATGTAACAAACACAGAAGAACTGGAATTAGAATCATATTCTTTTGATTATAGGGCTCACTGTTATAGCTAGCAATAATCTAAAATTGAATGATCAAGGCAGATAAGGGAGGGAGAGAGGAAAAACACAAGAAAAATGCAAGCAAAACTTGGCTTTCACTCAGCCAAAGGTAGGTGTAGCTTCAATCCCACTTCCAGGTTATCCCATACTGTGCAAAGATGGGCAGCAAACAGCACTGCAGAACTGAACCATCTTAATTATCTATATTAAAAGAAAAAAAACGTGTACACAGCTGTATGAAACCTGGGCTGGTTTTCTGCCTGACCAGTTTTCTGGTCTGATTACTCTCATTGCCAAACACCACAACATGAGATACAACCAAGCTGCTTAAGCAGCACTAACACGGCCCACAAAACCACAGCCGCCTCCCACTCTATTTGCTTCCCAAATTCAGGCCTTAGGTAAAACCATCTGAGGTAGAATGTGTTCCAGAAGGAGGAGTGTGCAGGGAACAAGAGTCACCCATGGACCTGCTGAGGCAGCACTGGAAAGCTCGCTTGCTTTAGCCGGTTCCCTATGCTGTACCCAAGCCAAGAAGCTCATCCATGGCACATGAGCACGTCTCGCCTGTGGAGCTCTCCGCAGATAGGAACACCGAGTGCAAGCAGTTGAGGTGAAAATAACACATCAATAGATAAGAGAAGCAGAGTGTTGCAAACAAAACAGCTGCATCATCTGCTGAGGGATTTTCTTTCTTATGGACATCATCTAAGAGCCGTAACAGGCTCTTTTCCCATTTCGTTAATGTTTCAGGAAATTGTTCCAGGGAGCAAACAAAACCCCCAAGTTTTCTAATTCTTAAGCCTGCTATCTTATCTCCACATTTCCTTTAAATTCTGAGAAGTTTCATATCAGGAAAAAAAAACCTTTTTTAAGACAGCGGTTAAGGAAAAAAAACCTGCATGGAATGTAGTGCACAGATATGCCAGATCTAAACCTCAGTGGCAAGGAAAATCAAGGAGACCATTTTTAGCTTTCTAACAAGCTGCATTCTATCACACACCCCCTCTGTGCATTACAAATTTGTTCAACACCTCTGGCAGCATAACGGTCGGGGCAACAATGTGTTTTTGTGCCCATACACATCATGAGACGAACACTACACTTACCCAGCTGCCCACTGCAAAACATCACGAGGTTGAGTCCTAATAGCAGCTTTGGTAAACTGCTTCAAAATATCTGGTAGCTCGGGGGGGATTTTGATCTGCTGAGCACAAAACATGGTGTCTGGAAGAGGCATGGTCCTTTCAAATTTTGCTATGCAGACCTATAAGAATTAAAACAGCAGTAGATAGATGGAGAATGCAAATAAAAGCCGGGCTGTCTCTAGGATCCTCCCATATGCAGCTATTGGGGCTAGAAAATACTGTGCTAACCTCAGAAGGATGGACAGACAGACAGACAAGCACTGGAAGTCTAAATACCTTGCCTGATGTTTCCACTAAGTGGGGCTGGAACTCCAACAGTCGCTCCTTACCGGTGAACTACACTGGTTTTAGCTCCAGACTCGGATCAAAGATTTTCTGCACAAGAAATACGCAGGTAAAGGAGACCCCTTTGACATGTAATATAATAGACCCTAATAACAAAGGCATAGCAAGAGGACACTTCACCTTCACAATTCTGTATTTACATATGCTGTAATCACGCTCACTTTGCTCACGAAGCTATGTTTTCTCCTAACATATGGGTTGCAAGGAATCCTGTTCCCCAAGGTGCAAAAAAAGGGGGAATTACGTCAGTGTATTGGCTATTGTTTGGCCCTTATCCCACTGCAGCACCTGAGCAAGTGTGCTTACCGGGGAATCCGAGCAGCCTCCTCGCGCCGTCCAAACAACCACCCTTTGGCTAAGGCTGTGCTCTACGCACTCCATCAGCAACGATTCAAGGTCGCAGCCATAGCCAAAGGATTGAAGCTCAAGGAGAGAAGCTAGGGGTTTTAGGATAGCCTAGAGAGCAGGAAAAGATTATGAAAGGAATATCTGTAGATTTATATATGCACACACATGGGATACACACATGCACGTGCACATGGGAGGCATTTGAAGAAAATAATCTAAAAATAAAGAAGAAAGAAAGGTTAGAACTGCTTACGTGCAGCAAGCACTAGGCCGCAGACCTGGTGGCAGAGCTGCACGCGGGCAGCTGCTCCCCACGCAGGGCGACGTGCGGCCGCACGGAGCACGACCCTGGAGC